GTCTGACTTTCCTTTAACGTGGTTGCAAGTTTGGTCCCAATAAGCAGTTTATTATTAAATACGAAGCATTTCTTAGCAAACTTTGGTGACTGAGCGAATCTATCTATCTATCTATCTATCTATCTATCTATCTATCTATCTATCTATCTATCTATCTATCTATCTATCTATCTATCTATCTATCTATCTATCTATCTATCTATCTATCTATCTATCTATCTATCTATCTATCTATCTATCTATCTATCTATCTATCTATCTATCTATCTATCTATCTATCTATCTATCTATCTATCTATCTATCTATCTATCTATCTGTCTGTCTATCTATCTATCTATCTATCTATCTATCTATCTATCTATCTATCTATCTATCTATCTATCTATCTATCTATCTATCTATCTATCTATCTATCTATCTATCTATCTATCTATCTATCTATCTATCTATCTATCTATCTATCTATCTATCTATCTATCTATCTATCTATCTATCTATCTAGCCACTTAGGTTTCAGTGCTCTTGTGGTCACCCCCATAACTTGGCGTGAACTAAATTTAGCATGGGATTTTAAGATGGTTTGACGAATATGACGTGCTGGTCAAGACGTGAATGAGGCCTCTATCCTGTAGAGAGGTATGTGGGGCTTAACGTGCCAAAACCACCATATGATTATGAGAGACGGCGTAGTGAAGGGCTCCGAAAATTTCGACCACCTGCAGTTCTTTAACAAGCATGCAAATCTGAGCACACGGGCCTACAACATTTCCACCTCCATAGGAAATGCAGCCGCCACAGCCGGGATTTGATCCCACGAGCTGTGGGTCAGCAGCCGAGTACCTTAACCACTAGACCACCGCGATGTTCTCCAATCCCGTCGAGCGCGTCGTCAAACACTTCCCGCCAGACAGTGGCACATACCCACGGGTGCGTATGGGCCACTGGTGTGCGGCTATGTGCCCCAGGGGATCAACACGTAGTACTTACCCAAGAATGACGAGAACTCCCAAGAACAATTTTAACGCGCGAGCGTTGAAAATACCCCAAATCGGTAGCTTCGACCCAACGAATGCAGAGAATAAATGTCTGTGTTTAGAAAAACCTGACATGGGCAGCGTTGACCGTCCGACGAATGTGAAACAAATTATGAGGTCTCAGCAGGTATCGAATCCAAGCATCCTACGTGGCAGTCAAGCATTCTACCATGGTGCTGCACCAGGAATCAAAATTTTTTTCAAATAGCCGCTAATCTTGAAACGTCAACAGTGGTTGCAGTGCTGCTTACCCAATTTTTTTAAAAATTAAATACGAACTCCTTTGATACAGCCGTAACGACAGGCTAACGTCAATTGTGGCTAGGTGCCATGCGCCAAAGTTGATTATTGTAGCACTGTCCAGGGCCAGCATCTTCGCGAGCATCAGCGCTTCATATCAGCTTCTGTGTTGCTAATACACATGTTACAGTAGACATCGTTGCGCAAGTGCGAAAACTGGTTTTATAAACGTCTGCAACTCTTCAACATATGCCTTTGCGTGCAACATTGGTACATATATTTAGCGTGATTTCGCGACGTGTCGCTCAATAAAAAAAGTTGCAACACGGTCACCTTCCCTCTGGATGCTTCGCATAACGTCGATTCCTAGGTAAGGGGGATCTGCCAAATTTTTCGATCTTCAGTCTGCTCCCTTCGTCAACGTCAAGGCCTCGTGACATCTGGTGGAGGTGCTCGATGTACAGCTTGACGGGGGCGTTTCGTACGTGGAAGAAGCGTGGTGAACTGGTTGATGGCCGCAGAAAAGTCCCGATTCTCGTTGGGTTGGTGTTCCGGCTCGGAGAGCACTGCGCTTGTGGCCAGATGAGAAATGGAAGGAGATTCAGCCGGGGAAGCAGTCTTGTTTGATAGATGGCTACGGGCTGGTTGGTGCCACTCGCTGCGATAAAAGGGAAGCATGAATGACGCGTGTCTTAGGAAGCAAGTGGTACGTTTGACCGTAGCAGGCGACCACCGCAGAGCTGAGATCATCGTACGCCTGCGTGCTGGTTATTGATGCGGCAGCAAGGTTACGTAGCTCTGCCGGCAGCCGGTTGAACAAGATGAAATGCACCAGCGCCTGCGTCATGACGCCATTTAGTGTTAGGGTGGCATCGAGCTACAAAAACATATTTGGGGATAAGCCGGGTGGAAAGGCTTCCCTGGCCGGCCGCGTCACGGTAGCATGTCTGCAGCCGCTTGTTGAAGGGTGCATCTTCTAGGTCACTACTGTAGCGAGAGACAGAGAGACGTGACAAGACGCGAAGAATCTTGCCACTTTATTTACAGGACCAAAGCGGAGCAGTGACGGCTGCCAGTGTGCGAACCGCCAGGTGCGTGAACTTATTCTGTTCTGGTACGCTCCTCGTGCTCTCCAGCGTGAGTGGTGCGAGAGGCGCGGTGCAGCTGCTAGTCTGGAAATGGTTATGGTGATCAATGGTACTGAAGATAATGCTACAAACCAATGCAGAGACTGTCACAAGTTTGAAGGCTGCAGGACTTGTATGAGCGAACGTAGTTCAGCACCAGTTGCTTTAAGATACATGGCATGTCGTCTGCAGAGTGGGCGGTAGTTCCCCAACGAGTATTCATGCATTTACTGTCGGAGCACCAGGTGACCTTGTAACGTAAGTGCACAAAGACCGACACAAGCGTCACGAATTCTGGGGCTGGGCAATCAACAGAAGAGCAAGTCAACGCAATTATTAAATCAATTCAAGGTGAAATATAAAGGCGGGTGAACAGTCGAATGTCATATGAGGAAACCACTTCATGGAGGTCATCAGGAAACAACAAGATAACATCTTGACATCACCTCATTTACCGTTCGCTAGCACTGGCAGCACTATTTTCATTGCAAGATGTCCCTTCAGGGCCTAGAAAGACTAGCCGTCGCCTCTGTGACCTCTCAAGACGATTATCTAGTGATTGCCAACTTCCCAAGTCACACCTTCAAAGAAATGCTTAAGTGTATACGAATTCGGCGCACACCTATTGCGACGAGCCCTTGCACCTGATGCCGAACACCTGTGGAAGGGGGCGTCGAAACTTAAGACTTCATCTCTCATGTGTATTCAACGCTGACTCTCAGTGGAGGCTCATGGAGATGATCGAGACGTGACTCCACACGACTGCCCTGTAACTGAACACTGTGAGGACACCAAGGGTGCGTGGGCACTGACACCATCACACAGTGTAACAAAGAATGTCATGCAATGACTAGCAAGGACTACCGCATGTTTTTTTTTGCCACGCATGTGAAATACAATAACGAGCTTCCCAGTCTGTGGAAGCGAACGAAGGAAGAAAAGTAGTTTCTCGTACGGTTCGGCCATCTCTACAAGCCATCGTTTTATCTGGCCTGCGTGTTTGTGATTTGGTTCCTGTCAGTGACAAGGTGGTGCCAACACTGCAGTGAAAATTTTGTACAATGGCTGAATTCTTTGCCAACAAGGACAATCGCAACAAGCGTTTAGAGCTGGTCTAGCCACACAACTGTCAAGTCCGGTGCATGGTTAATCGGCTGTAATTACTGGAATCAACCAAGCACACAATGACCCGTAAGTGTGTTGAATCTATCACGGTAATACGTTGGTGAGAAATGCCATATTGAGCACAAGATGAGCGAAGAAGCGCATGCGAATGTGCTGAACCCGCCTATCAAGTTTTCGGGCTAATGCAGCGAATCTCTTGTGCCTGTCATGTGCTCTTTACCTTCGCTCCTGCTGCTACCTTCTGACCTTGTGAATGTTCACCAAAAATCTTCAGCACACTACGAGAGCTCTCATACCTTCGCGTGGCCGTGACCTCCGGAGTGCACTTACTTGTCAAATGGAGGTATCACCCCGAAAGGTTCAAGGGAGAGCAGCCGTGACGCCTTCAGTCCGCGCGAAGTGGGGCTACACCGACACAACCACAAGCTGCCCATTTCATCCCAAGCCGGTGCGGGAAGGAGACTTCAACCAACTTTTGTGAACATGCCCTGGACTTCAAGTGGCTCGCCAACGCCATCGTCGGAGTCCAAGATTTGTGCACACCAAGCTGCCTGACTTGAAAATTGCAGCAATGTATTTGTGCTCCAAACTACAGGTTCCTTCTCTATTTCATGAAGTAAACACAGCTGCATAATTTTGTTTAATAAATGTATGCCGTAGGGCTAACTTCCGCAACAAAAAGAAGAAGCGGGTGCAAGGCGGAGCTGCTAGTGAGGACGTAATAAAAGAGAACGAAAAGAAAACGAAGTTATCATCCAGAGCAACATGGGCATCAGTCTCTTTTCAATATCATCACCCAACTCGCTGGCTGGATGTCTGCAAACTTCTGTTCAGCTTCCTACACCGCTTGCAGGTTCATCTGCAGAATTACTTGTACTCTTATACTCGTTTATAGGAGAATAAAACACCACGTACTATCTTCTGGCTCTTACCAACCCGCATCACTATACTCTAGCATAGAAGCGATCTCTACCCGTTTCAGCAACACAGCTGTTGAGTGCACACCAAACATTGCTCTACACGCTTTCACAACTTTGTTCACAAACGTGGACCATTGCAAACACACGTCTCGAGTGTTTACAATAGTGAATACCGGCCAAGTAACAAGTTATCATGCTTCAACGAAGTACAACTTGCACGCTTGTGCAAGAAGTTTTGCGTCATGTTGATAAAGTACATTATATTAGCTGAAATCTTACCTCTCGGTCACCGCAAGCTGCTCGCACGTTTGCGGCCATTTCTAGTTCTCGCCACAGTGCTCATGGTTATTCTTGTGAAGGGCAATAGAAATCGTATGCCAGTCTTTCACAAGCGGCACATTTCACTTCCTAAAACACGATTTTTTTAACCTAAACAGGGACGTTCCCATGTGAACTTTTGTATAATGAAGAATAAAAGAAACTGTTTCAATGATTTTACGTTCACTTTACGCGTAACTGGAAGTATGTTATACCTGCACTCTTATTTTTTCAGAATATCACCGTTCATTACATGACCAAGGGATGTGACGACATCAACGATGGCCGCGTAATGGTACTGCTTTTACATGGATTTCCAGATTTCTGGTTCGTGTGGAACAGGCAGATACCTCGCCTAAGCATGCACTTCTGGTAAGAACAAACTGCAACATGACATATCCACGAAGTGAATGATGATGAGTGGGCAAACTAGTGGCATCGTTCAGTGTTACCGAAAATCACCAATGACATTCACCATGGCAAAGACGAGGTCCGTGTACAATCCTCTGGTGGTTGTTGGTTGTTTCCCGACATACTAAATCAGTAGTAAATAGTATCGAGACGTCATAACTTTACAAACCAGTTGTTCGTGATCATCACTGTCATCTCCTTGATTGTCATCACTGTCATTGTCATCGTCATGACGTATAGTGGGTAGCTTACATGTGCTCTGCTTTGGCAAACAACACCAACGCCAATGGACAAACTCGATCTCAAGGAGCTTCGCCCTTAAAACACAAGTATTCCTTTTCACACCTTACTAGTGAAACAGCTGTCACTATGCGTTTTAGTTGCGCGAAAGGAGCCCTACAGAAAATCTGGAAAGCTTCCTACTGAAATCCACTATTTGTTTTGCGCTGATCAGTACTGACAACTTCAAGAAAGAAAAAAAAATTCCGGCATAACCGTGAATCGAATGATGATGAGTGGGCGAAGCAGTCGGATGCTACTTTTTTACCATAATTGACCAATGACATTGACCACTAGCGTATAATGATATGTGCCGAGAGGTGTACATTTATATACAACGTTTCTTGGTCATAACTGGTATGCTGTCAAAAGTTGTGAATTTGGCTTTGACTTCATTATTACTGCTTTGTTTTATCGCATCAAGCCTAAAGCTGGCAAAGACGAGGTCTGGGTACATTACGCCTGTGCTTGTTGGTTGTTTGCAGTAATACAAAATGCATCGTAGAGCACATCCAGACGTCATCTACTGCACAAGCCAGTCGCTTCCCGGGATCATCATCGTCATCAGCGTCACCGTCATGGAGTTTAGTGCGTATAGTCGATGTGCTGTGGCGTTATGACAGAAAGAAAATGTGTGGTATGGAACGTGCCTGTTCTTCAGCGTTCTGAACGTCATTGTCCAGACCAAAAGTGGGTACCTTACATGTGCTGTGTCGTGTTAGCAGAAAGAAACTGCGTCGTCTGAAACGCGCCTATACATGCAAATTTATATATTTACCTTTAAACACTCAAAGGTTACACATTCAAGTTTATACGCCTTTTCTGCCACTTGTACATGATCGCTTCAGTGGTGCCCCACATGACGATGTCGAAGATTGGCTTGAGCATTACGAACGCGTTGCCGACATCAACCAGTGGAATGCTCAACAGAAGCTCACCCGCACGTACTTCCCTCTTGATGACAGTGCTCACACCTGGCTTGAGAATCGAAAAGGCCGTATGTTGACATGGGACGAATTTTGTCAGCAGCTCATTGACACCTTTGCTAGCGTTGGCCGTCGAGAGCGGGCTCTGCAGTTGCTCGAGTTAAGACTTCAGAAACTTAACGCAACTATGACAATGTTTGCTAAAGACGTTACGCGCCTGTGTTGTCGGGCTGATCCCAATATGTCCGAAGAAGAGAAGTTGCGCTACCCTATGCGCGGCGTAAAGGAACAACTTTTCGCAGGACTTGTGCGCAATACCGCAACTACCGTGGCCAATTTCATAATAAAAGCCACTGCCAGTGCGTGTGCTCTGCACCAAAGATCGAAGCAGTATGATCGGTCGCCCACTACCACCCCAATCACGGCCGCTTCAGCGACTCCGGAGAATGAAGCTCCCTACGTGACCTGATCAGAAATATTTTTTGTCAAGAAGTTCAGAAGCTTTGGACTCCGCCGACGTATACACCAGTGACCACCGTTTCCACAGTCAATTGTGACGAACTCAGGCACGCTTTCTCAGCAGCTGATCTCTGTCGAAGAACAGCGTCAAAGGAGTTACGCCGACGCTGTCTGCCATCCACCTCCCGTCCCACCTATCATGTCATACTACCAGCCACCTACAGCTGCACCTTCATCGGAACCTTTGCAGAAGACTTTCAGACGTTGGCCCTTGTCTCCGATCCCTATCGAAATAACTGTCATGGTGGATACTGGAAAACATGGTGGGCGTAGTGGCAATAATAGTGGGCATGGTGGAAATTATGATGGGTATGGTGGGACGTAGTGGCAAATATGGTGGATATGCCGGGACATACTGGATGGTATGGTGTACAGATGATGGGTAAAGTGGAAATGATGGTGGAAAGCAGAGGCTAGATAGCGGGCAATAATGGGACACTGCCCACCATTGCGATAATGCTGGGAAGCCCTAAGCATATGGTGGGTGGTGCTTATTATGGTGGGCCACATGGTGTACCAAACTGAGAAACTCTTCCCACCATTGCGATAATGCTGGGAAGCACTAACCAGATGATGAGTGCTGCTTGTTATGGTGGGCCACATGGTGTACCAAGCTGAAAAGCTCTGCCCGCCATTGCGATAACGCTGGGAAGCAGTAAGCAGATGATGGGTAGGCTTATAATGGCGGGCAATTTATTAGTGTACCAAGCTGGGATATGTACACTACATGTTCTACCACCATGATTTCCACCAAAAGTTAGGCCTACCGACGGAACCCGTACAATTGTGTTATCCGTGCTTCCGGGTTTCAGAATACACGATTTAGACGATTAGGAATCACAATACAGCGCAGCCATGGCATATGTCTTCATGCCACCAGCCATTACTTGCTACGCCTTACTCACCCCCACAAGATGATATGAGGCACCCACAATTTAGCAGACCAGAGGCTTGGCGCGCTTTCGACCAGCGCCCCCTCTGCTTCAACTGTGGTGGTGCCGGTGATACAGCTCGCTATTGTTGGCACCACAACACATCGCTTCGCCCGTCTCAGACAGGGTAGGACGGTCGCTGCGCCAACGCCGAGTACATTGTTTGCCATGTCGGTCCTTGTTTTCGAGGACCTCCAACGACATGGTCTGCCTATCATGAGTCACTTCCCAATCGCAAGCCCAACTCCGCCCACTGGTCACGCTCTCTATCTCCTGCACAGGCATCGTCACTGAATTGACGTATTTTTGCTGATCTTCGGCGAACAATGTCACTCAGCCCTTACCGGGGAAACTAAAGGTGGTGACCTGTCGGGATAAAAAATCCTCAGTACTGCCGTTATAGAACGACACAACGCCGACGAATATTGACAGCGACGAATGGTGAGCGCCGCTCCGCTGAAAGCAAGTGGCGGCCTTAGTAAATACAGGCGCTGATTTTTTCATCATGAGTCCCAAGCTAGCTGGTCAACTTGAAACATTATAAACACCGTTGGCAGGACTGTATATAAGAACTGCGGGTGGTCAATTGATGCTCTCTACTAAAAGATGCAACACGAAAATCAGCATAGCAGATTCTTCAAAGATTTATTTATAGGAATGGGATTTCTCAGGGAGCATGGCGCAGTAATGAACATATCCGACTACGTGGTTTCGTTTTACGAGAGTGTTTGTCTGAATCTTCATCACCAGAGCTCAAATCCTTTCATCCCGAAGACCATGATATAGTTGTGCCACCTCGGTCATTTTCCTTCGTTTTAGTAGCATGTGACGTACTGTTCGACGGTGAAGGAGTTGCGTAGCAACAAACCTCACGGCTTTTCACTCACGAGATTTCAGTAGCACGAGGAATAGTCAATGTCACTGACGGGTGAACTTACTTGCTGTTCACCAATTTCAATTCTGTGCGACGGCACTTTCTAAAAGGCACAACTTTGGCATATTTCGACGATGTATCAGATGTTTGTGACTACTTTGCAGCACTCGAACAACGCCTACAAAAGACCCACATGACCTATCACCTTAACTTGATGTCAGCCCTACTTTAACTCAGAAACAGTAGAAACGCCTTCTTGCGATGCTAGCCAAGTTACGACTGTTTTGCGTCGACCTCGAAAGTTGGGCGGACATCCTTTACCGAGCACCGAACCATCCCAGAGGACACGGCTAGACCAATCGATCAAAATCTGCACCATGTGGCTTCAAAAAACCAGAAGCGATAGAACAGCAGGTTGCAAAAATGCTTGAAAGCAACGTGATTCAACCGTAGAAATGCCCTTGAGCGTCACCTGTTCTAGTCGAGAAGAAGAAAGGCAGCCTGATTTTCTGTGTGGACTATCGGAAGCTAAATAGGGTGACAAAAAAGACGTGTGCCCGCTTCCCAACATAGATGATTTGATCGACAAGCTTCGAAACGCACATTACTTCTTTTCCATGGACTTAAAGAGTGAAAATTGGGCAATTGAAGTCGACCCCAAAGATCGTGAAAAAACCGCTTTCGTGATGCCGGACGGACTGTGCGAATTTAAGGTTTTACCATTTCACTTCTGCTACTCGCCTGCTACTTGCCTGCGTCTCATGGATCCCATGCTCTAGGGGCCTAGACAGAGAACTTGTCTAGTATAACTTGATAACGTCTTTATGTTTTCTGCAACGTTTGATGAACACCTTGAACGATTGTAGGTGGTCTTCCAGGCCATATGGGCCACAGGCCTGACGATCAAGTCATAGAACTGTCAGATCCGTTTTGAGGAACCACAGTTTCTTGGCCATGTCGTCAGTTGCACTGGGGTTTTTCCAGAACCCGAGAAAGTTGCCGCCATCACACAGCTTTCTACATTATTAGATAAAAATGCAGTCAGGCGTTTTCTGGGCCTATGCGCATACTATCAGCGGTTTATTCCAGATTTACCACGCATTGTGTCGACTTTAACTCGTCTCACGAGGAATGACGTTGCATTTGTTTGGCGCAACGAACAGGAATGACTTGCGGCAACGTCTACACATGACCCTCGTGCTTGCCCATTTTGATTAGATAGCCCCTACAATGCTCCATACTGACGCCAGCAATGTTGGCCTCGGAGCTGTGCTTGTGAAGTGCCGGGACAACGAGGAAATAGTGATCGCTTACGCAAGCAGGAATCTGCCACGCAAAGAAACTTACTCGACAACTGAAAAAGATTGTCTCGCCGTGGTGTGGGCAGTTATGAAATTTCATTCATACTTGCACGGCCGCCCATTC